TGGAGAATAAGGCTGTAAGGTAGTAATAAGGGAGGTTGGGGTGTTTGATGAAGAAGGTTGTGGGGGTAGAGTTGATGAATTTGAGGAAGGTAGGAGGGTATGTCTTCTGGAGATTGAGTTTCTGCTTGGGTGGGTAATGCACTAGTAGGCATTGAGGAGCAGGTAGTAGTTTCAGTGTTCGGAGTCGTGGTCAAAGGAGAGCCTGGGGTCCGGGAGCCGGTGGGGCTATTTAATGAAGGAGCAAGCCTCATTGCCCCTAATAGGGGTATTACATCTTCATTACTAGCCATGGGAAGCCTTGATTATGTAAAGGGACATAAACATACCCCCAGTGCCCAGTAGGGGGTAAGGGCTAGACAATTAAATCGGGAGTACCGTGCCCATGGTTCCCGCAGGCCGTTCAGGACTGGCACAAGGTCAGCCTTTCATCCTTTCAGCACGGCTCTTACACCTTAGGAAGTAGATAGTAGAAAGGGTTGGAGAAGGGACGGAAACAAAAAGCTGGAGGGGGAAAAGACCAAGCAAAATTAGTTCTCTAGGGCTGAGGCCCTAAGCAGGCGAGATCCCTGCACTGGGTCTCAGTCTCCGTCTCCTTGTGGCGGACGCCACAATCACATCGGCACCGGCGCTTTGAATAATTACCGCATTCAACGTCGGCGCAGCCTCGCTCGGCATAATTTCCCCTACAACGAGACAGCCGACAGGGAAGCATGCCGAGGTCCGCGGCGCTGATTACCCGCGACGCGAGAGATAAGGATGCAGCCATCGGCCAATCAGCACACAGCCGCAAAACGACCCAGCATTGTTACTTTGCCCATTTTGCATTTATACCGCATTTTCCGCCGAAAAATACACACACTTCAGTCTTCTCTGCACTTCAGTGTTTGCTTCACCTTACCACTCAAGACCTCAGCTCTTGACTACCTCGCCGAAGGCCCCTCTACATCCTAAGCCCCCACGACAACAACGGGCAAGGGACTGGGGGGGATGAAGTAAAAGTAAATAATTGTACTTCTTCAGACAAAATAGCTTCTGCTTTGATTGGGTTGGAGTAAAAAGCCATGGTGTGGTCATATACTATTGTGTGTGGATTTAGGCCTTGAGCCCGAAGATTGATCTGCGGAGAAATTTTCCGTATTTATTCGCGTGGAAACTTGATAAACGATAGAATATGTTTTAATTTGCCATCTTCGGTGTGGCGTTTTCTGGCAAAGTTCAATGTCGTGGAATGTCTCTCAAATGCAGAGACAGATATATCTCATATAACTTGAACATGTTACTGTATTTAGAAAAATCGATCTTCATTGAAAAAATAAAGATACAGTTTACTGGTTTGTTTTCTAATTTTGAATAATCGTATAGGTAGAGACACAACACTCCCACAACTGTACTAACCTGGTCTATAGAACCGGAGTTTATTTCCTAATATGATCATCGGATAGCTATCATTGTTGGAAATTATGATTATCAGAAAGATCAATGAAAGCATTCAAAGAAACGAATAATTTGCAAAGGTGAACAATTATTTTCAGCTCCAGCATACTAAACACCACCATTCAACGAGGGCGTCTGCCTAGTTGACTACACGTTAAAGCAAAATAATTTATATTCAGGTTAATCCTTTACCATTAGAAATCTATCGGTAGAAAAATGCTGTATTGCTGCCTCGAAACAACTCCTCGCCTCATTGTAACACAACACCAAAAAATACAATGATTAATATAATAGTAGCAGTAAATCAATAGATTGTATCACTGCAGGAAAAGAAATATTCAATGAATGTTTCATCGTCGATTCATCGTCATCACTTTACCGCATTCCCTTCGCTTGTTGCACCCAAGGGCACGGCATTAATTAAGTTCCCCACTTGGCCATGAGCGCGAGGCCGCATTTGGCACAGTGGACTTCATCTTCGACATTCTCAAGTCGTAGATAGGAATCTGTCCCTTTAATCCATGTTGTTGACTTGCATCAGCAAAATAAGGCAACTGGTAGGTTACAACCCTCACCAAAGAGGTAGGCTTCATGTTTCTTGGTACGTTAATCCAATTATCATCATAATCATCTCGGTTTGCCTAATCATTGCCGAATGCATCATTACTACCAAATATGATAAGTAAACGGCCCTTCACGAGTGTTCCATGATGGTTGAAACGAATAAATGTGCAAGACGCAAAGGTCACATAGTACTATGGTAAAGTATTGTGGCGAAAAGGGTGAAGAGGAGTGAAAGAAAAGGTTAAATGCGTTATATGTCAAAGATTAGAGAGTGTTTTACGATATTAAGGAAGCGAAAAGGGGATAGCAAATGAAGTAGAGCAGAGATTAATAGAAAGGGAAGGTTAAGGGGGTAGGGCGATTGTGTGAATTACAGTGTATCTGTGCCTGGGGAATGAATAGGGACACTGTTTAAGGATAACAGAGGTGGCTGTTGAAGAGGCAGGAGAGGAATCCGGGGGATGGAAAGGGGGGACTGGGGAAGGTGGTTAAGCATCAGGAA